TTTTTAATCTTACTATTTATCGATCTTCCTTTCTTCCCGGTGAAATCAATGTTCTACTAGTGCTATTGGGATAACTTCTTGAGTAACAGAATTACTACCAGTAGGATTGTTATTCTAGTTGAGGGCTAAACCACATTTAATCTTCAAAGGAAAAACATTAAGGAAGCAACTGTTTTTAGATTAATTTAAAATTTTCCTCAAATGACATGGATGTTAAGTAAAAAAAAAAGGCAAAAGGAATATCACTAGCAGAAACATCAAATCGCTGATTCTGGGAGTGACGGATCTTGAGCTCCTAAGCACCTTTCCTCCAGTATGTCTGGGTCAGCTCCGCAGGGAAAATTTCTCTGTATTTCTATAGCGCACAAAGCAGTGCGCTCCAAGGGAAACATAGAGCATAGATTCAGAAAAAAAAAACAAGGCAATTTGTGCACCTGCAGATGAAAGGAGAGATGATGAAGTCTTCTTCCACAGATGAAAAGAGAGACTCTTGAAGTCTTCTTCCACTTGACCTTGTGAAGAGACTGGGATATAATTATGAGTAATGGAAGCAGGATGAAGGGTAAGTGCAAGCAGCAGTTGGAAAAGCCACCTAATGAACAGCAGCAGCACAGGCACCATTCCCTGCAGGAGGGCATCGTTACCAGGAAGCCCCAGCTTCCTACTTCATGGAGAGACATCCCAATCCAAAGGACTCAAATACAAAGGCCTCAAGTTCACACCTTGCGCAGACGCCTCCTCCTTTCTGTTTATTGGTCTCCAATTTCCGTTCCTTTTTATCATACGTAAGGATGTCCAGAAAAAGGCATCGCTCCAGAGGGCTTCAGAAAGGGGCCCTGCACCACGTGAAAGTTATCTCAGTTTTGATTTTTTTTTTTTTATTTCATAGCTAGAGTGGAACAGAGGCAGGGAGGGAACAAACCAGAGATTTATACCAAATATCTACACCAATTATGTTCTTCCTGTTTTTTCCTTGCATTTAAAACACTTGATTGTAAACTGAGGTCCTTCCATGGCAGAATCAAACTGAGACATTTCTGTAATAAAAATAATAATAATTAAAAGAAAGGGGGAGAGAGTGAGTCTGCTTAAACATGACAATAGTGCAAATTACAGAAAAATTTTATTGGCTGCAAATCCATCTCACGCTAAAAAGAGGCTTCCTGTCTTTGATAGTTGGGGATGGGGGAGAAGGACAAGTATGTTTCTTTTTCATACTCAACTATTGGTACCTTGTTTAAAAAGGGAAAAAGAATGACGAGAAAGCAGACAGTGTAATAGGTAGGAAAGGTAAAAGAAGCAAGGAAAATAGAGAGAAAAGAAGAAAACTTAGATATATATATACACACACACAGTTTTCCAGTCACATGCATTAGCTACTTACAGCTATTCAACCAACACTACCATAGCATAGCTACACCTGAATTTTTTAATATGTTTTATTTTCTTTGTCATATCCCCGTAGGGCTTCAGATGTCTCCACATTATGGAGTTCTGTGTAAGGCAACAGCATAACCTGATCTCTACCTTTTCCTGAAAACCCTACAGAGACCGTTCTGTGCAACTCTTATTCCCTCTGTTAACTATACTTTAGGCCAGGATCTACTCGTAAGCACTGTAAAAGACAAGTGAGTTTTTCTGGAGAACTTATTTTTGTTTAGTGGTTAACTCCGATTGCTAGATTTTTATTATTATTGTAAGAAAATAGTATCTGAAAGTGGTTTGACCAAGAAATATTTCTTGTAGCAATTTTCAAGACAGATTTAGTTTCCTGCATATTTAGATTATATTTTAATGCTAGCCAAAACACAGAAGAATGAATCAGTGAGGCAGGAGATCTGCAGATTTGTTTCTTCCCTTTTTTTTTTTTTTTTCCTCCAGAATCACAATTCACCATGAACACACTTAAGGAAATACCTAATGATTCATTACTTAATAACATGTGTAAATCAGATATGCTTAACTGGTATCTTTTTTTAGTAATTGCTTCAAGCTACAAATACAAACATAAGAATCTAACATGGAGAAATGGATTTGTGAGTAGAAATTGCAGAGAAAAATATCTTTTTTGTCCATTCTTAAGAAATGTTTCATCTTAGGAACTGAGAAGCAAAAGCAAGTTTTAGTATTAGTCTTTTTTTTTTTCTTTTTCTTTTTTAAAGATTCCTACTTCTGCATTAGAGCAGGAGAGGTGCCACAAATCCAGCCTCAATGTTTAAGTTTCTCCCCTCACCTTTTATCCCTATCTGGGAACGCGGTCAGACTCCTTTCCTGCTCAGTTTGCAGGGCACCCTTGCTTTTGCATCGACACAGTTGTCTCCATCTTCTGCATCAAATATAAACTGGAAGTTTTAAGCACGATAATTTTCTGGGGTTTGATTTCACGCTTCCTATCGCCTCTCATTCACTATCGGTGACAGCTCCGGTCTCTGATTTGACATAGTTGCCAGTCTCTCGCACTCATTTTCAAATGAGCCATTTTGTGCTGCTGAATGTGCTCGGCAAACCCCCTCTCAGGGGCCCCAGGAACACCTGAAGCTCTGGCAGGGCCCTGAGCAGGGCCCTTGCTCGCGCGCGGAGCTGTTTGCCCTGCTCCGCTGTGTGTGGCTGCGTGCAGGGACCGTTCAGAGGTACCTTCTGTCCCCTAACACACAGCCCTTTCCCAGCTAGCAGTTTCACGCTTTGAGTTCTTTGGTTGTTTCAGCTTTCAAAATAATTAGTTTTTACTAACACAAAATATTTATTTAAACTAAGATCAGTTCCCAAATGGCATTCTCTAGGCCAATACTTGTAATAGTGCAAGAGAGGGCAACACAGCAGAAGGAATTACTGGTGAAGATAGAAGACTGCTGCTTCTGCCATCAGCTTCAGCTTATACTGGCTAAAATCTCTGGTGAACCTAAAGCTTGATGTGCTAACATGTCATTCCTACAACATGCTTTCTCTTCTGCATGTCCCAGCTACATGTTCCTGCTTCCTTTCCTGTGTCCTAGTGGTTGCGTGGCTCTAGGACACTTTTCTTCAGCTTGACAGGTGGACTAAAAACATTTTAGATGCCTTAGTGGGTTGGTTCTGCATGGGCTCAGGGAGCTGATTTTCTTCACAGCTGTAACAGCTCTGCATCCAAGGGGGAACAACAGGAATAGGATCTACCAGGTTTGCTGCAAAGAGAAGGGTCTTGCACAGAGTTATTGCAAAACGGCTGCTGCACCTCAAATGCTGGCATGGTTTGTTCCTGCTGCCACAAAACCCCTTAAACTGCAAACATTTTTTTTGCTTCTTGTTCTGTATTTGTGCAGTATCTAACACAGCAGGGTCCTGGTTGCAGGAGAACCTCTTGTCACTGAACTAATACTGTTTTCACTCCTCTCAGCATTTTTCAAAATCGCTATCTCTTGCTCAATCTCCAGAACAAATACCGATGTGCTGCCAGAGCTGCAACAAAGAGCTCTCAGCAGATTGAGATTAACCCTCATCTGTGTGTGTTTTCACAAAGAAACAAGAAAACTGTTCACTTTCTCACTGGCATAGAAGCACCCTTGCACAATTTCAGTACAGCAGCATGATCATCTGGCTAACAGATTAAGTTGCATTTGGCCAGTAATAGTTTGTTCTCAATCCTAAACTGATTGGAACGATAGCACATTAGCCTCATTTATTTCCTGTGGTTTAAAAAGCTTTGAGTAGGAATGTATCAGTTGTGTCTCTCTCTCTTCTCTCTCTCTTTTTTTTTTCTTTTTAATTTCTGGCTTTGCTTGAAATTTAATTCATAACTACATTTATACTCATTCACCTGTATAGGTTTACAACCACTCTGGGACACCATTCTTGGTAAGTTTGATTTAACCAACATGCATAAAATAATGATTTTATGGTGAGGAAAGATGACCCTATCCTTCAAAACCAGTGGCACTATTGAAACCGCCTCTTGAAAACTCCAAGATATATTTTCCACCTACATTTGTGCTTCTGACATCCTAATATGCATGAAAGCAGTCTCACACCTGAAGGGATGATTCCATGGTATGAGTTGACCTGATGGAGAAGATCAGTCATCATTTCCCAATAAATCCTACGCTTTCTTCCCCTCCCTGTTTTCAGCAGCGCACTCCTGCCTGCTCCCTTCTCCCAGTCTTGGCACTAGTTGGACCTTACATGAACTCATCTGATTTTACAGCCCAGCAGAAAAACTATCCGCTTGCTCCCTGTCAGGTTAGCAACCTCAAGTGTACCCTCTTTGTGCCAGCCAGAAGGGCTGAAGGGAGAAGGGAGCCACGGAGCCGAGCTCCGCTCGCACGCAAATCCGGCGCAACAGACCAGAGGGTGCAAAAATGAGCAAGGAGAGAACGAGCATGTTAGGGAACTTCGTATTACTCAGTAGAGCACTTCGTCACACACAGTGACAAGGTAAAGAAAAGCACAGTTATGAAAACTACACTTACAGAAACAGATTCCCATTGCAACATCCTGCTGCTGACTTTCTAATACAAGCAGCAGAAGCTCATGCATGAGGTTCTTGTACCGTGGTGAAATACTGTTTTATCGTTTTCATAGTGATCTTCATAATGAGAACTGGTAACGTAGTCAGTGTTACTCTCCACAGTCAACCAATGAGGAAGATGGTACTGAGGTGATGTGACTCACCCCAGAGCACCCCAGCAACCAAACCGGGAATAAAGGCTAGCGCTTAGTGTCCTAGATCACTGCTTTGACTTTTCCAGGAAGGTTTTTAGATACTGAGGGGAAAAAATCGTATGGCTGTGATAATAAAATGCTGCCTCCCCTCTTCCCCAGTCTGGTGGTAGGGAGAGAGGTGGGGAGTAGGCCTCAACCTTAATCTGAAGAAAAAGCAAGCTGGGTGATATTAGATCCATTTTAGAAGCAGTAACAACCAGGGGCCTAAAGATGTTTGGTCAAATATAATGCAAGAATGGAACATACTCAAAGGTATGATTTATTACCTTTTCCTTCGTGTAGAATTTGCTATTTAAGACGCCCAATCATGAATGATGAGATACAGCATCCAGGCAGCAAGTCCTAGTACGAGTCATGACGTTCTCTTCTATAAGTCCTTGAAACAGCTCTATTTCTGGAAGGGTTTCAGAAGAGCCTTGATTCTCTTGACAATTTTTTTTTAGATGTTCAACACCAATAGTATCATCTAAAAAAAAAAAAAAAAACATTACAAACTGCAGCCAAAGACATCTGAAATCATCTGATATAGTTTCATTTCTATCATGTCAGAACAGAAGATTTCTAGAACAAGCCAACAAGCCTTTGTTTTACCAGAATGCTATTGATTTTGCATCTTAAATGGCCTAAGAAATGAACTAATTTATTTTCAGCTCTCTCTGACAGTTTTATACATGGATACCCCTACTTCTCTTCTTCCTCTCAGCCCTCAAGCAGCTCTCTTCAAATAAAGAGCCTCCTTTTCTCTTAATAAAGAGCCTCATATCTCTCTTCCTATTTCAGGCATGAAATCACATCTGTTTCCAGGGAACAACTAGTGGGTATTTGTAATCACTCAAATTATATCAAACTAGCACAGAAATCATGGAGCAAGACAAACAGTAACATTATCCCACAATCTACACACTGCAGGAACTCACACAGGCAGAACTCCTGAGCTCCTCACAGACCTCGGCCATCTTTGCCTCCTTAGAGGCTGATCTCTTGCTCTGCTGACCATCTTCAGCAACTGTTAAGTTTAATTAAGATGCTCAACTTCTCAGAGGAATAAAGTATAAAGGATGCCACTTTCTTTTTTTCTTTTGTTAAATGCCATCCTGATATGGAATTAGGTAAGACTGAGCTAAATATTTGATCAATTTGATATATAGAAAAACAACAACAACAACAACAACAAAAAAACAGAAAATTCAATAGTGTTTCACAGCAACTGCAATTCTGCCATACTAGGTGTACAGTCTATGTAACCACGTAGCATTTAGTATAAGCTCCTGCATTTGCCCCAATAGGACTATTATCACTCATTTGCAGTGAAAAACTTACAAGACTCTTCAGCATTAACTATTTTCTCTTCAGAACAACAAATATATGGTACAGTTTTCTGTATCACAAAATACACTCACCAGCCAAGCTACTTCCACTCTGCAATCCACTTGTTTTCTGTTTCTCCTAAAATAGATAAAAACAGTCCAAAGAAAACACGTGACAACAAGAGATTTTGTTATTTTAGGGACAGAACAAGATTCGTGTTCTATTATACAATTACTATTTTCATGTAGTTACAGGTTTTTCATTACTGGATAGTACAGCACTCCTAAAATAAATAAGCAATCATCAGGCACCTTCGCAAAGCAACAGCACAGGAAAAATAGCAAAATAAGTAATCTCTAAGCAGCAGTAACTAGACGAGCAGAATCAAGTCCCAGAAGCGAGCTACCACCAGCAGAGGATGGCATTTTCTTGGGTGACTGGAGAAAATCAAAATATGGCAAATGGTGGTAGGTTCCATTTAACGAACATGGGCTGGGACAGGACACGAGTACCAGGAAGAAAGGGATTTTTATCTCCCTGAATTAGGTCATATACATTTCTGAAGATCATCTTTTAAAATCTCAGTCCTACCCAACCTGGGCTGGCTCTGGCAATATTCAGAAGAGCACATAAAATACCCACTTCCTTATTATAGTTATTTAAAAAACAAGGCAAATTCACTAGCAAAGAACATCATCTTGTTTCACAAGCTGAATGACTCCTCTTTACGCATACAATATTGGGAAGCCTTCCAAAATCCCCTAAAATTCGTACCTCCACAGAGGTCTTCCACAGTAAATAGATCATCTTTGAAATTTTCCGGTCAAGAGGTACTATATAATCATCTGGCAACAAGGATTCTGCAGAACAAAATATGTTTGCAATTGAGTATTCAAATCTCTTCACAGCCAAAATATATATTTTTCCAGACTTAAATATGTGTTTTTGCTTTTTAATAAGCAGATATTTAAATGAGACAACAGCAGAGTCAGAATTTAGCTTCTATAGAATCTAAGGTCAATATGGAGGAGGAGGAGGAGAAGAGAAAAAGATTTGGTTTAGGTTTCATTTTTAGAAAAAAGCTTTCCTACAGTACTTTCATTTCCTCCACATCTCCTCTGTAACTATGCAAAACAAGAAGAACAGAAAGCTTTCAGTCTGTAGATTAAAGATTGTTGCTTACATTGCATTGGCTTTTACAACCTTTAAAACATTTAACGATAGAAAGCTTTGCAACATCTTTAACCAAGTTATGTTTTAAAGTGCTTTTACTGTAATAACTCTTCACTGTTTAAGGAGCTGAAAAGAGAATTGTTGCAGGGAAACAGTCTGAAATATGTTCTGTGCTTTTATGAGAATCACAAGCAAATAAATCAACTAAATATTACACTGATAATTATTCAAACAATAATTTATACTCCCCCCTCTTAATTCTTCTGACACCTTACGTGGTTTCAGAACACCTTAGGACTTATGTGCTGAAGGGCTGGCCTAGTTCTTCTATTTTCAGGCCAAATCAGACAGTTTTTCCACAAACGTTTCTGCATTTTTGTGAGCTTCAGTTATCGGTTCTACCTATAATATTTAGTTCTTGAAACAGTATCTTAGTTCAAATTGCATATGTTAATAACATTACACGTTCAACCCATTCAGAAAGTTTAGCTCCTTTTTTTTTTTTTCCCCAGAGTTTTGCACATAAGAAACAAAGGGATTCAGGGTTTAACATTTTCTGACCTTTCAGCAGCGTTACATACAGTATAAAATACTACAGTGATTTCCACACAAACGTTTCTCATTGTTGGTTACAGTTATGTATAGCTACACTAGCTTGTAGTAATTTGGAAATCACAGTTGCCACAGACAAACCCTTTAATGCCTGATTGCAATACTTGTAACTACCCAATTGAAATGATTAAACTGAAAACACAACATGACAATTGGAGCTCTGGAGTGAAAGGATTCACACCGCTGATGCTTCTTAACCATGCAGGATTAAAGTAATGTATTCTGTATTAGAAAATGACTTTTGCGAGTTTAATTTTCAATCTAAATTAGATTCTGGAATATGATTTCAATATATTTAGCCACACAACAGTCTATGAGAACCTTACTATGTAAAGGAATGGTACTATTCTAACAAGATGAAAAATAAAAGCAAGTGTATAAAAATTATGTAAGAGCAAACACTTTGCATCATATTTGTATATAATACTGTAATCAACTCATTAAAATCTTACTTAACATGATGTATTTATGTAATAGATATACAGGAGCTTCATGCTTTGGATTGAAAGTCAGTAAGTCATCACTACTAAAGACACCACAAAAATGAGGCCAAACTAGACACCCTCTTAGCTGTAATGCCAATGACATTTTGGACAGAAGTCGAAGAGTTTGGGTGAAATTTAGCAAGGAAGTAGCTGTTCCTTACAATAAATCCGACTATTACCTGCAATTAGAATGAATGATTAATTACAGGAGTGTCTACACTGAGTTAGTAAGAAGAGTATTACCCAGTGGGAGGCCTGGAGAGCCAAAAAGCTGCACAAGTTGAAAAGCAAATCCTAAAGATAAGGGAAGTCCGAGAAAATCAGGCTTCATGTTCACATCTTGCTTATCTTTGACCTGTGAAGCCTCCGATGGCTCAGGATCATCTGCTTTGTGTATATTTTCACCACAGGTTTCCAATATATCAGAACCTTTTGAACTTTCAGAAAACACTTCATCAGAACACAAAATATCGGGTTTGCTAGTTGTAATCTCTGAAGAGGCTTGTTCACTGTCACTCTCTTTTTCATCAAGCACAGGTTGCTTATGAGTTCTATCTTGCTCTTCCTTTGGTCGGGAAATAACACCACCACATGGCATCAGAGAAGAATCAGATTGTCCCAAATGGCTACATGAAACTTCGCTGAACAGAGAACTTGTATCGTGGGCAGGTGAGGGGGCTGCCTCACTACCACTGTAAAGTGCAGAATATCCCTGAGACGGAAAGTTCTCACTATCCTCCTTGCTACTGGCTTGGTTCAAAATTCTCTTTTGCGCCATTTCTAAAGTGCTTTTTGAGGAAATGTCATCTCTTAACTGGACTTCTGTCCTTGCCCCTTTATTGCCAGCAAACTGTCGTGGAAGATTAAATTTTGGTGCCAAATTGAAAATTCTTTTGCATCTTTTCCTCTCGGTTGTAGCTAGTGCAGGACTGTTTCCTGGGGTGTTCACCTGGCAGTGTGTGGGACCCAGGGACACCGTCACGAGTGAATCAACACGTATTTCACCCGCAGGAGAGGCGCTCGCGCCAGTGCTCACCACATTACCAGGCTCTTCAGCTGCTGTTACCAAGGGCTCCTTTTCCTTCACCAGTTCTTCGTAAGATTGACAGCAGCTTGGCTCTGCTGAGCTGTTGTTACGAGTCTGTTTAAGCTTCCTCACCTTTTCTTGTCTTTGTTCACCTACAAAGTCATCCTGAGACCAAGGAGAGAGAGAAACTTGCTTATCAAAGTCCAGCTGCAATTCCTCAATAGGTAAATTATTTGGAAAACATGCCCAGCCATTAGAGAAATTCTCCTCTCCTTTTAATGCATGTTTCTCCTCTGTGTTAGCATCGGACATGTTATTGGATACTTCTGAATTATAACATTGAGAGATTTCTCTCTTTTTGCCATTCAAACTTAAAAACTTAGCTTCCATGCCAGGTTCACATGTAAGTTGATCTGAACAAAGGTTGCTTTTTAGGCCTAACAACCGTGTGCCATGATCAGCACAGCTGCATTCTGCTTCTTGGATGAAACATTTATCATTTATTTTTGGGAAATTGCTCTTGCTTTCTAGAATGCTTTTCTGCCCTTGGTCTGTATCTTGACTATCAAATGCATATTTGTTTAGGTTTTCATTAGAAACAGTATTTAAATTTAATAGAAATGAACTGCGACTTCCTACAGACGATTCATTTTTCAATGCACTGTCCAGCATAGTTGACATCTCAGATCCAGTAACTGGAGACCTTTCTCTTGAAAAGGCTGAGGCTTTTAGGCTTTCACCATCACCATTAGGCTCCTCTTCACACCACATTATTGGACCCCCTGCATCTTCACTAAATGTACATGAAGATTTTCTGTTTTCTTCTTCTGAGTCATCGTCTTCACTTTCTGATGTGTCCTGGTCATCTGAAGTTATATGATGAGCTGCTCCACCTAACTTCTTCATAATTTCTGTGTGATTGCTTCTCATTTTTTTGTTTCTTTTTCGCTTTTTTCTCTGCTTCATTTTTGTCAGTTGTCGCCCTGGGCTCTTCTTTAAAATGGTCTCCCTATGTAAAGAACAAGAGAACTAAATGTGGAAGAAAATATATTGTAATAATTCTATCTATGAGGTATTTGATCTGAATAATAAGTATTTTACATTAACATCATTATCAAATACAGATCATCTGCTTTTTTTGAATTTCTAAATTTAGGTTTTATCAGTTTAAACATAAATGCACACTTTACTATTCATAATGTTTTGAACATTTTAAACCTGCTTTAAATATACCTGCAGTCTCATTAATTTTAGATCCAATTAGGCAGTTCTACTTTTGCAAAAAGTATCAAAAATAATTTTAAGACTAACCAATGTTTGAGGATGTCTTTCTAAATTATGCTTGAATGATAAATACCAAGTATTAATATTAAAGATGTATTGCTATTCTGAAATTTCAGGCAATGTCATGCTGATCAGAAAAATTCTAAATGGAACATGTGGCAGGAATCATCTCTTAATCTATTAGGGTTAACTGGATTACATTCAGATTAGTAACATCCAGAAAAGCATAATGTGAAGATACAGTGATAATGTGAACTTCATTTTTTATTACGAAATCTCTGAGAATTACTTCTCAGCATATGAGTGCACATATACTTATTTGAAAAAAAAAAAAAACTTCATTTTTTATTTGAAACAGTCGCACGCTATTAACATTAACTTAGTTGTAGGCATTTTTTTTGGTTTGTGTTTCTTGTCAAATTCAACAGATGGTCCTAACAATGACTCTTGTGAAATCTTGACCATGATCCTTCAATCAGCTAACCCTGAAATGAAAATGAGTGAGGAAAACTTACTCCAGAAATCTAACTTCTCCTGAAGCCACTCTTCAGAGAGAGACTGGCTGTTCAAAGTTATGCTAGACTGATGCATCTTCAGATCTATCTGCTGCTCTATGAAACTTCTTGTTTAGGATTCAGTGACTTTTTTCAGCTAAAACACTAAATAAACTAAATAAATGGACACTAAAACAAACAGGAACAGCAAGAAGAATCACAGTGTGAAGTTATTTTTCTTCTTCTGCATTCTTCTTTAACACAGGCTGTTTTAAGGATGAGATTGTGTATCTCAAGAGAATAATAAAAAAGTTGTGTGCATCTGTGGAATGAATGTCAATACCATCAATAGGACCTAAAAGTCACCTACAGAGACCTATCCTTACCTTTCGTTCATTCTTACTCCTCTCATTTTACAGAAATTATTTTGAATTTGAAGTCCGTAAAGCAAACCCTACCAATTGTCTGAGTCGGATACAGTTCAGCATCCTTCGAGGATTCAGTATAATCGCCAAGTCACCGAACTGGACGCCAAAGTCCTTGTTCCTTGATATTGCTACAACAAGCGCTGTGGATTTTATATAAGTGTGTAAAAAATATATACATAAGTATATTAAATTTATATACATATATATATATATATATATACACACATATATAAAAGATGATATCTTATTTCCTTCTGAGTCTGCCTAAACCTCTTCAAATGAGTTTGCCCTATTGTAAAACCATATGGCACCCAGATTCTGAAAAAAAGACAAGAACCAGCATGGAGATAGGCTTGCTTCTTGACAATGACATTAGTTAGTAGTTTGTTTCCAAGACATACTACATACACAAAGGAAAAAAAGTATCAGTAATTTAAATTTTACTATTATATTTTTAAAAAGCTGTTATTACTGCACAGTAATCCAAGGAGATGTAACAGATCTGAAAGATGTAACAAAAGATGTTGCTGAAATAGGACTAATTTCTCTAACAAAGCTTTGAAACGTTTCAGCCTATCACTTAGACAATATTAAAATAGCTTTTTTTTGCCCTTGTCTTCAAGGTTGGGACCTAATGCTAAAAATAGCACTGTGCAGTGTGGCTGACAGCAGTCAGAAAAGACTGACTAAAAACATAAAAAAAATTAGTGTTAAAAACATTTAAAAACCTGGCAAAACTAAAAACATTTACTTAATCAAAGATTTGCTGTTTTATTAATTTCAGTTCTAGCATGCACCTCAGATGACATCTATTTGATATTTAAAAAAAAAAAAGTCTGCAGTGATTGTGATTGAAATATAGAGGAAAGAGCAAATTAGAAAAATGCAACCATAAGAATAATATGTAGTGAGGAGAGCAGCTTTAAGAAATCTACTATTATCATTAATCCAAGAAGTTTTTGGAGTGTGTTTTCAACATGAAAATTACAGCAGAGCTGCTTTTGCAAACAGATTTCTACTGGGAATAAACTGCATCTTCTTTACCTGCTAAGCTTTTTGGAATCAACACTCTTCTGTTCCATCTACCTGCACTTCAGCAACAAATCAAAATTAAACTCACAATTTTTGATTCAAAACAGAAGTGACTGCACCAGCCTTTTTGTTACATACTTTGCCTATAACTAATGAGTCTTTAAAAATTGAATGGAATATTAGTATTAAGTTATTAAACAACTCAAAAATAAACACACCTAAAAATTTTGAGCCTTATACTTTAAAAACTGCCTTTCATCATTACTGGGTTCCCTGAAAACTTGTTCATTGCTGCTCAGAGGGAAATATATATAGAGAGAGAATAATATATATGTATTTTTATATATTATATATATTTTTTTAAACAGGGAAGGCAGAAGGGAGCAAATATATATATCTCCCTTATATATAAAATATATATATACATTTTCTCCCTTCTCAACATCCCAGACATCGCCCATGCATTTCCACCACCTGTCTCTTGTTGGTTCTTGCACTGACCTGTCTCCTTCGGGGTGGATTTTAGCACTCGAAATGATGCTCTAATTTTTAGATAAGTTCTATAACAGAATCGCTGACATAATTCTATGTAATGTATAGTCGGTCATCAAACTGATGCAGCATTATAGTCCAGACACAAAAGGTGGATACAGAGAGCGCACACAGAGAATATCATACAATTGGCTTGACCAAAACACATCTTTAGAAGCTGTTCATGTAGTCAAATAGATGCCAAAGTATAATCATCTTCAAAGAAAAACAAACAAACAAAAAAACAAACAGAAAAGCCTGAGGTGATAATCTTATAAATTCAGTTTTCAAATGCTAGTCCATTCACTCCACCAGAAGTTCTGTACTGGGCGATGTGACTAATGGAGAATAAAATCTTTGTTCTGCCTTGCTAATGAAAGTCAGAAATGTCTTCTGAGTAAAAGGGGCAAAACTTCCAATTTCACCTCTTTTGTCACGGCATACACTGATCAAGATTCTAAAAACAAAAACAAAAATCCATCCTTAAGATGGATTCATCCATCCTAGCTTCTGCCCAGCATCAAACCTCTACTTCCTGAACAAGTAAAACTACCCCAAAGCTGCTTTCAAGCTCATTTAGGTGCTATGACTGCATCTCTCCTCATGCAGTTCAAAAGGCTATCCAGGACATAAAACAGAATCACGACACCCATAGTGATAGACGCTAAGGGACATGTGCAGTTGTACTGGACTTCTCTGCAACACTAGGTATAACTCAATATTAAAAAGCATGTGGGAAAAAAAAAGAACTAAGCAAAAATGCTACAAGTGATTGAATCCAATTTACAATACAGAGATAGGAATTTCTACCCTCCATGTCCTTATTCATGAAGGATTTAAAGGATTAGTTTTCACTTAAGACCTTTCGATCAATGTTTACATGAAGAGAACCCTATGGACTTCCATGCCGAGGTATGCACTGGACTGGAAGTACAACATGGGTCATGCTTTAATATGTGAAAACAGGAATTCTGTTCCCTGGCTAACAGGAACTCGCGGATGAACACAACCAGATTGAAATTAATCCAGGCTAGACAAGAAATCCACTGCACTCAAAAGCTGTTCGGAGGCATGAGCTGTGGTCAAATTTGCACTGGCTGAAGAACTTCAGTGCAAGCTGCGGAGTAGCAGTGCTCCTTACTTTTCTAGTGATATGAAGGCATTTCTGTATGCTGTTTTAAGGAACACTTTCTAGCAGGCTTGAAAAATCCCATCTTCCCAGACAATGATCAACCTCAGGTTTCATCATCCTCTGGACAAACTACATCGGTAAGACTTATCTGGATATGAAGCTGACAGGTCTCACCAAGTCATAAGCACTGAAGCTAACAAGCTGGTGGGCTCCGTTCCACACAAGCAGCTGAGGCACTGAGGAGAACACCGCAGGCAACCAGACACACCGGTGATATCCACCACTGCAAAGGCAAAGCCCACTTGCTTAACAACCCCTTCAAAGCCGGTGGGGGGAAGAAAAAAAAAGAAAAAATAACCACACACATCTATAATGAATTACCTTTACAGCAACAAAGCAACAACTGCTCATTCAAAATTAAAAAAAGTATTTGCTTTTACAGATTTACTATATTGAATAACATATACAAAATCTAAATGACTCACATACAAGACAGTATTGAATGTGTATGGTCCCTTCACTTTAAACAGGATTTTTGTTAAAAAAATAAAAAAATTCCGTGAGCCACCTCACACCATTTTCAAGTGGCTTTCTCTTATGATCTGCTTTTCAGGGCTGCTGCATTTTAGGCGTGAGCTTATGAAGCTCAAGAAGTTACCTAAAGGGTCTCATGAGGCTCATAGAATCATTAAGGTTGGAAGGGACCTCTAGAGGTCATCTAGTCCAGCCCCCCTGCTCCAGCAGGGTCACCCAGAGCATGTGGCACAGGACTGTGTCCAAGCGGGTTTGGAAGATCTCCAGAGAAGGAGACTCCACAGCCTCTCTTGGCAAACCTCTGCCACACAGTGGGTTTTTCGTCCTTCCAGTTGTAATTTCCTATGTTGCAACTTCTGTCCATTGCTTATCTTGCTATCTCTGAGAACGGCTCCATCTTCATGACATCTCCTCACTGGGTAGATGAAGACAGCAAGCAGCAGTTTTGGACTTTGCATCATCTTCTTCTTA